CTGTCTCTGTTACAGTCACCAGACGACACGTCACTTTCCCTGATAAATCTCCAGTTTCTCTTACAGTGACCAGACGAAACGTCTTTACCCCTGATACATCCCCTGTCTCTGTTACAGTCACCAGACGACACGTCACTACCCTATATACATCTCCAGTTCCTGTTACAGTGACCAGACGACACGTCACTACCTCTGATACATCCACTGTCTCTGTTACAGACACCAGACGACGAGTCACTACCCCACATTCATCCCCAGTCTTTGTTACAGTGACCACACGACACGTCTCAACACTTGAGACATCCCCAGTCTTTGTTACAGTCACCAGACGACCCCTCTCAACACTTGATACATCCCCAGTCTCTGTTACAGTCACCAGACGACACGTTACTATCCCTGATACATCTCCAGTTTCTGTTACAGTCATCAGACGACACGTCTCTACCCCTGATACATCCTCAGTCTCTGTTACAGTCACCAGCCGACACGTCATTTCCCCTGATACATCCCCTGTCTCTGTTACAGTCACCGGACGACACGTCACTACCCCTGATACATCCCCGTCTCTGTTACAGTCACCAGACGACATGTCACTTTCCCTGATACATCTCCAGTTTCTGTTACAGTGACCAGACGAAACGTCTCTACCCATGATTCATCCCCTGTCTCTGTTAAAGTCACCAGACGACACGTCACTACCCCTGATCCATCTCCAGTCTCTGTTTCAGTCACCGGGCGACACGTTTCTACCCCTGATACATCCCTAGTCTTTGTTACAGTCACCTGACGACACCTCTCTACCCCTGATACATCTCCAGTTTCTATTACAGTCACCAGACGACACGTCACTACCCCTGATACAACCCCTGTCTCTGTAACAGTCACCAGACGACACGTCTCAACACGTGATACATCCCCAGTCTCTGTTAAAGTCACCAGACGACACGTCACTATCCCTGATACATCTCCAGTTTCTGTTACAGTCACCAGACGTAACGTCTCTACCCCTGATACATCCCCTGCAACGGGAACAGTCACCAGACGACACGTCACTATCCCTGATACATCTCCAGTTTCTGTTACAGTGACCAGACGACACCTCTCAACACTTGATACATCCCCAGTCTCTGTTACAATCAGCAGACGACACGTCAATATCCCTGATACATCCCCTGTCTCTGTTACAGTCACCAGCCGACACGTCTCTACCCCTGATATATTCCCAGTCTCTATTACAGTCACCAGACGACACGTCACTACCCCTGAGACATCCCCTGTCTCTGTAACAGTCACCAGACGACACGTCTCTACCCCTCATATATTCCCAGTCTCTATTACAGTCCCCAGACGACACGTCACTCTACCCCTGATATATTCCCAGTCCCTATTACAGTCCCCAGACGAAACGTCTCTACCCCTGCCGACACGTCTCTACCCCTCATATATTCCCAGTCTCTATTACAGTCCCCAGACGACACGTCACTTTCCCTGATAAATCTCCAGTTTCTCTTACAGTGACCAGACGACACGTCACTTTCCCTGATAAATCTCCAGTTTCTCTTACAGTGACCAGACGAAACGTCTTTACCCCTGATACATCCCAAGTCTCTGTTACAGTCACCGGGCGACACGTCTCTACCCCTGATACATCCCCAGTATCTGTTACAGTCACCGGACGACACGTTTCTACCCCTGATACATCTCCAGTCTCTGGTACAGTCACCGGACGACACGTCTCTACCCCTGATACATATCCAGTCTCTGTTACAGTCACCGGGCGACACGACTCTACCCCTGATACATCCCCAGTATCTGTTACAGTCACCGGACGACCCGTTTCTACCCCTGATACATCTCCAGTCTCTGTTACAGTCCCCGGGCGACACGTCTCTACCCCTGATACATATCCAGTCTCTGTTACAGTCACCGGGCGACACGACTCTACCCCTGATACATCCCCAGTCTCTGTTACAATCACCGGACGACACGTCTCTACCCCTGATATATACCCAGTCTCTGTTACAGTCACCAGACGTCACGTCTCTACCTCTAATACATCCCCAGTCTCTGTTACAGTCACGAGACGACACGTCACTACCCCTGATACCTCCAAGGTTTCTGTTACAGTCACCAGACGAAACGTCTCTACTCCTGATACATCCCCAGCCACTGGAACAATAACATGACGACACGTGGCTACACCTGATACATCCCCATTCTTTGTTAGAGTCACCAGACGACACGTCTCTACCCCTGATACATCCCAGTATCTGTTACAGTGACCAGAGGACACGTCTCTCCCCCTGATACATCCCAAGCCACTGGAACAGTAACATGACGACACGTCGCTACTCCTGATACATCCCTATTCTCTGTTAGAGTCCCCAGACGACACGTCACTACCCCTAACACATCCCAAGTATCTGTTACAGTCACCGAACGACACGTCTCTACCACTGATACATCCCAAGTTTCTGTTACAGTCACCAGACGACACGTCTCTACCCCTGATACATCCCTAGTCTCTGTAACAGTCACCAGACGACACGTCTCTACCCCGATATATCCCAAATATCTGTTACAGTCTTCGAAAGACACGTGTTTACCCCTGATACATCCCAAGTTCAGTAACAGTCACCAGACGACACGTCTCTACCCCTGATACATCTCCATTCTCTGTTACAGTCACTGGACGACACGTCTCTACCCCTGATACATCTTCAGTCTCTGTTACAGTCACCGGACGACACGTCTTTACCCCTGATACATCCCCAGTCTCTGTTACAGTCACAAGACGACACGTCACTACCACTGATTCATCCCCAGTTTCTGTTACAGTCACCGGACGAAACGTCTCTACCCCTGATACATCCCAGTATCTGTTACAGTGACCAGAGGACACGTCTCTACCCCTGATACATCCTTAGAGTCACCAGACGACACGTCTCTACCCCTAATACATCTCCAGTCTCTGTTACAGTCACCCTGTTACAGTCACCGGACGACACGTCTCTATCCCTGAAACATATCCAGTCTCTGTTACAGTCACCAGACGACATGTCACTTTCCCTGATACATCTCCAGTTTCTGTTACAGTGACCAGACGACACCTCTCAACACTTGATACATCCCCAGTCTCTGTTACAGTCTCCAGACGGCACGTCTCTACCCCTGATACATCCCTAGTCTTCGTAACAGTCACCAGACGACACGTCTCTACATACATGGCCAGTCTCTGTTACAATCACCAGACGACACGTCTCTACCCCTAATACATCTCCAGTCTCTGTTACAGTCACCATACGACACGTCTCTACCCCTGATATATACCCAGTCTCTGTTACAGTCACGAGACGACACGTCACTACCCCTAATACCTCCCCAGTCTCTGTTAAAGTCACGAGACGACACGTCACTTCCCCTGATACTTCCACAGTTTCTGTAAGAGTCACCAGACGAAACGTCTCTACCCCTGATACATCCCCAGTATCTGTTACAGTCACCGGACGACACGTTTCTACCCCTGATACATCTCCAGTCTCTGTTACAGTTACCGGACGACACGTCTCTACCCCTGATACGTCATGTCTCTACCTCTGATACATGGCCAGTCTCTGTTACAATCACCAGACGACACGTCTCTATCCCTGATACATCCCTAGTCTCTGTTACAGTCACCAGACCACACGTCTCTACCTCTGCCAAGTTCAGTAACAGTCACCAGACGACACGTCTCTACATACATGGCCAGTCTCTGTTACAATCACCAGACGACACGTCTCTACCCCTAATACATCTCCAGTCTCTGTTACAGTCACCCTGTTACAGTCACCGGACGACACGTCTTTACCCCTGATACATCCCCGTCTCTGTTACAGTCACCAGACGACCCGTCTCTACCCCTGATACATCTCCAGTCTCGGTTACAGTCACCGGACGACACGTCTTTACCCCTGATACATCCCCACTCTCTGTTACAGTCACAAGACGACACGTCCCTACCACTGATTCATCCCCAGTTTCTGTTACAGTCACCAGACGACACGTCTCTATCCCTGAAACATATCCAGTCTCTGTTACAGTCACCAGACGACACGTCTCTACCCCTGATACATTTACAGTTACCGGACGACACGTCTCTACCCCTGATATATACCCAGTCTCTGTTACAGTCACGAGACGACACGTCACTACCCCTAATACATCCCCAGTCTCTGTTAAAGTCACGAGACGACACGTCACTACCCCTGATACTTCCACAGTTTCTGTAACAGTCACCAGACGAAACGTCTCTACCCCTGATACATCGCCAGCCACTGGAACAGTAACATGACGACACGTCGCTACTCCTGATACATCCACATTCTCTGTTACAGTCACCAGACGATACGTCTCTACCCCTAACACATCCCCAGTCTCTGTTACAGTCACCAGACGACACGTCTCTACCCCTGATACATCCCCAGTTTCTGTAACAGTCACCAGACGACACGTCTCTACCCCTGATATATCCAAAGTATCTGTTACAGTCACTGAAAGACACGTCCCTACCCCTGATACATCCCAAGTTTCAGTTACAGTCACCAGACGACACGTCTCTACCGCTGATACATCTCTATTCTCTGTTACAGTCACCGGACGACACGTCTCTACCTCTGATACATCGCCAGTCTCTGTTACAGTCACCGGACGACACGTCTCTACCGCTGATACATCTCCAGTCTCTGTTACAGTCACCAGACGACACGTCTCTACCCCTGATATATCTCCAGTCTCTGTTACAGTCACCAGACGACATGTCTCTACCCCTGATACATCCCCAGTCTCTGTTACAGTCACCAGACGACACGTCTCTACCCCTGATACATCCCCAGTCTCTGTTACAGTCACATGACGACACGTCTCTACCTCTGATACATCTCCAGTCTCTGTTACAGTCACCAGACTACACGTCTCTACCCCTGATACATCTCCAGTCTCTGTTACAGTTACCAGACGACACTTCTCTACCCCTGATACACCCCCAGCCACAGGAACAGTAACAAAACGACACGTCTCTTCTCCTGATACATCCCTAGTCTCTGTTACAGTCTCCAGACGACACCTCTCTCCCCCTGATACATCCCTAGTCTTTGTTACAGTCACCAGACGACACGTCTCTATCCCTGATACATTCCTAGTCTCTGTTAGATACATCTCCAGTCTCTGTTACAGTCACCAGACTACACGTCTCTACCCCTGATACATCTCCAGTCTCTGTTACAGTCACCAGACGACACGTCACTACCCCTGATACATCTCCAGTCTCTGTTACAGTTACCAGACGACACTTCTCTATCCCTGATACATCCCCAGCCACAGGAACAGTAACAAAACGACACGTCTCTTCTCCTGATACATCCCTAGTCTCTGTTACAGTCTCCAGACGCCACCTCTCTACCCCTGATACATCCCTAGTCTTTGTTACAGTCACCAGACGACACGTCTCTATCCCTGATACATTCCTAGTCTCTGTTACAGTCACCAGACGACACGTCTCTACCTCTGATACATCCCCTGTCTCTGTTACAGACACCAGACGACACGTCACTACCCCGATACATCTCCAGTCTCTGTTACAGTTACCAGACGACACGTATCTATCCCTGATACATCCCTTGTCTCTGTTACAGTCACCAGACGACACGTCTCTATCCCTGATACATTCCTAGTCTCTGTTACAGTCACCAGACGACACGTCTCTACCCCTGATACATCCCCTGTCTCTGTTACAGTCACCAGACGACACGTCACTACCCCTGATACATCTCCAGTCTCTGTTACAGTTATCAGACGACACGTCTCTACCCCTGATACATCCACAGCCACTTGAACAGTAACAAGACGACACGTCTCTTCTCCTGATACATCCCTAGTCTCTGTTACAGTCTCCAGACGACACGTCTCTACCCCTGATACATCCCTAGTCTTTGTTACAGTCGCCAGACGACACGTCACTACCCCTGATACTTCCACAGTTTCTGTTACAGTCACCAGACGAAACGTCTCTACCCCTGATACATCCCCAGCCACTGGAACAGTAACATGACGACACGTCGCTACTCCTGAGACATCCCCATTCTCTGTTTCAGTCACCAGACGACATGTCACTACCCCTGATACATCCCCAGTTTCTGTTACAGTCACCAAACGAAACGTTTCTACCCCTGATACATCCCCAGCCACTGGAACAGTAACAAGACGACACTTCTCTTCTCCTGATACATTCCCAGTCTCAGTTACAGTCTCCAGACGACACGTCTCTACCCCTAATACATCCCTAGTCTTTGTTACAGTCACCAGACGACACGTATCTAACCCTGATACATTCCCAGTCTCTGTTACAGTCTCCAGACGGACGTCTCTACCCTAAATGCACCCCTAGTCTTTGTTACAGTCAACAGACGACACGTATCTAACCCTGTTACATTCCCAGTCTCTGTTACAGTCACCAGACGACACGTCACTACCCCTGATACTTCCACAGTTTCTGTTACAGTCACCAGACGAAACGTCTCTACCCCTGATACATCCCCAGTCTCTGTTACAGTCACCAGACGACACGTCTCTACCCCTGATACATCTCCAGTCTTTGTTACAGTCACCGGACGACACGTCTCTACCCCTGATATATACCCAGTCTCTGTCACAGTCACGAGACGACACGTCACTACCCCTGATACTTCCACAGTTTCTGTTACAGTCACCAGACGAAACGTCTCTACCCCTCATAAATCCCCAGCCACTGGAACAGTAACATGACGACACGTCGCTACTCCTGATACATCCCCATTCTCT